TTCTCTCTCTCTCTCTCTCACTCTCCCTTCCTCTAAAAAAATATCTCGCGTGAAACACACTTTTGATTCTCTACTCGAAAAACGATCGAGTAAAAATTTCTGCTCCATTTTTCGTGTAATTTTATCTACGAGCAAAACTGTGCACTCTACTTCTCCCCTATATTTTCCAACTTTCTTTTTTTCTCTTTTTGGACTGCAAGATCGCAAGATTTTCTCGAATCTTTGAAATCGTTGCAAAAAAGTATACTCGCTCTATATTTGAAGATATATTTGGAGATCGGCCAGATTTTCATCCTTTCTCATTGTTCATCCAAAGTTTACCGAGTTTTTGATCAAATGTTTAACAAAATTATCCCCGACAAAGGGTTGTCCTTATCCGATTATCGCTCGAAAGAGATTCGTCCTTGGAATTTCCTAGGCCTGGCTAAATAAATTGTACCAAATTGTAACTGGCCGCAGTCGCCGTCAGTCGTCGCAAAGAAGAGAAACTGCTCGATGATAGTCAACTTTATTCACCGTGTTTTCCCCTTCCTTTTCTTCGGAGCTGATGAGGGGCAATTTTCACTTTTTCCTTTCTTGCCGTATATAAAATCGTCCCTCAACTTCTTCCTCCTCCGTTTCATTGGCACGATCCCTGTCGAGCAAGTTCTCGAAAGAAATCTAAAATCTCGATGGCATGGTTCATCCAAAACTGAACGTCACGCGTAGCCTGTCGCGTTCCTCGCGAAAGGTGGCTGCGCGTTGGTCCTCAAGTAAAATTTCCCTCTCGTTCCGTGATCCACGGCGAAGCCCATCAACGCTTGGGGCGTCCACCTGCAATCCACCGGGATGTCCGGCCGCCATTTTGCGCATCGACTGGCCGGGAAACCGAAAGGATTCGTCACCGACTCGGCGTAGAACATCCACGCGCGATGATGGCCACAAAAGACTGCGAAGAGGCGAAAGTGAGAAGAACGACAAGTCGTTTCGAAACAATAACGTTTGGAGAAATTTGGATTTCTTACTGTACCGATTGACGAATCTCGACAAGCTTCTCTGAAACGCGTTCTCCGTTTCGTCGCAGCCGGGCTGCTTCGGTTTCCCACCGTTCGGATAGAAGTCGACGTGGCCCAACGGATTCGGGAAGCCCAGGATCCCCCCGTCCGTGTGGATCACGTCCACGAACGCGGCGTCCGTCCTCGCCAAGTGGCCCTCGTTGCCCGTGTTCATGTAGAGTGGGTAGGCGGCGTCCAGCCCCGTGATCCTGCCCACCTTCAAGAAGAATTCGTTCGAGAAAGAGAAAAGGATTTGGATAATTGGGTGCCCACCTTCCGCGGGGACAAAGCTTTCCCCATGAAACCAGCTATCTCGGCCCCCAGGCTGAAACCAATTACGTGCAAGTCGGGCAGGGACACGGCCCCCCGAGCGGCCAGCCATTCGACGAGGCGGGCGAGCTGAGGCCCGACTATTCTCGTGTTTCTCACAGCTGTCACGTACCACGGCAGGCCGGCCAACTTTGCCCAGTTCACCAGAATCACGTTGTACTCCCCCCGTTTCAGGTAAACTGGAAGGTTAAGAACGTTTGAATATCTCCTCTTCGGAGAGGGAATTGGACGATTTTTTTATTTAGATCGAAGCAATCGGTGGAATCGATCGCGGCGGGGTTGGAAAGTTGTTTTCGGGGTCGGAAAACGGGGTCTTCCGCCGAGAGGAGTTGAGAGGCGGGGGAAATACGGATCAAGTTTCCGCGTTGAAAGGGCGAACTTTCCACGATTCATCATTGTGTCGTCTTGCAACGGGGCTCGTACCTTCTCAACCCAGTGTTCCATCGGTTCCTGTCCATTCGAATCTCGCTGTTCGACATATCTGATGACACGAATGTTTCCACAAGTAAAAGACTTTTATTTACGTAGATTTTGCGTTTGGTCGTAAAAATTTAAACGGACGTTTCTTTAAACGTTGTTTCCTTCTCTTTGATCGAATGATGATAATAAAATAGGAGTAATATTTAATTGAAAATTCGTTGGATCGTGAATAGGGGGAGTAATAACAAGTGCAAAAGTACCATCGCGTATCGCCACGGCGCTTCTTCCCGTCGCGCTCTCGCTGTATCCGTGGATGAAAATTACGGTCGGATATCTGCCGTTGAAATTGCTCCTCCCCAACGAATACGGGTCCGAGATATTCAACGTCGCTCCGCAATTCGGGTTCCTCCTGCGAAGCAACGAATTTCCACCCGATGTCAGATCCAACATTCCTCTTATTCTAATTTTTCCTTACCTGGTGTACACAAGATACTCTATGTCCCGATTCACGTCGATGGGGCAACAGTACGAGCAGACGCCGGACGGGAGCGGCGTGGCGTGGAGCGCATTCTCGTCTGGAATGGGAGAGAAAGGGAAAACGTAAAAAAAAAAAAAAAAAAAGGAAAAACTCGAGCAATGATCTTCGTCGTTGAAAAACACGTGATGTCGCGTGCTCCTTCTCCCAAAGATTTCTTCCACCGAATATATGGAAAATAACGTTCTCGAGGCGATTTATCCGGAGCAAGCCGGATGATATATCGACTATTATCGTGATTAACGATCGCCAACCGATTTACATGCACGCGCACATCCACCATCGAATCTCTCGTTGTCGCGTTCGTTTCACTCAGAAGAGAGAGAGAGAGAGAGAGGAAGGAAACTCGCAAACTTCGGCACGGCTTGGTTTAATACTCGGTGAAGTGGAGAGACCGTAACCAGCTGGTTGTTCACAAAGCGGAATTGTACGCGCGAATGGGACGTAAATCAGTTACGTACGGGCAGCGGCACGCTTTACGACCTGGTTAAATTTTGCCAGCCAGGCGTCGCTTATCGCCGCCTCGCTCGACCCACGTAATTTCCGCCGAGGACAAAGAGTAGTGGAAACAGTGGTAGCGATACCCCCCTTTTCCGTCTTGTTACGCCGATCTCTGTCGCGTGATCCCCTCCTCCCCCTGCCGGGTATCGTGCCCGTCGGCGATTAAATTTTTTATAAACGAAACGAATGTTTGTCCAACATCGACCCAGCCTTAATAAAGGATTCCCTCGGAAATGATCGATTCGACGAAACGAATTCGGTCGGCTTACCTTGGATCGCCCCGTTCTTTCTTTCGTCACGACGTGGTGGAGATTGATTCCGCAACAACTCGATGAGAGAATGTTTTGAGAAAAGGCGATTCGTTTCTGGGGAGAAAGTATGCTTGAACCGATCGAGCGTATTGTTGCCGCGTTTCGCAGAGGACTGTGAGCGAAACAGGTTTCGGCCGCGATATCGATTACGCGCTGTTAATCTAATCGTGATCTTGCTCGATGAAACGCGAGAGTATTGTATTTGTCGTCGCGTGGCGATAAATACACGCGCGATTGCTATTCGTTGGTTTGTGAAAAAAAAGGAAGAAGGAAAGGAAGAGCTAGGTTCTTAAATCTCCGTTCGATCGAATGATTTCTGATCGCGTGAAACACTTTGAAAAGTATGCGTACAAAGTGAAAGTGGATAGACACAATGTGGATAATTTCTGAATTGTGACTTTCTCTTTGATAACTGATCGAGAATTGTAATAACGCGATCGCGGATAAGTACGAGGGAGTAATTCTCTGGATGTTTAAAGACTGGAAGATTCGTGTTCCCGGGTAGAATTTTCCTTCGTGTATAAGAAATAAAAAAAAAAAAAGACGAAGAAAAAGAAAAAGATGCGGAATTTCCACATACATCGAAATCCTATTCGTGAATGGGAGCATTCAGGATTTTGAATGAAAAGGAGGTCGGCAAAGGCGATCCCCTAAAATTTAAATAGCGCCATTATCCGTCTCTTTGGTTCCGAATACGCGCGCATTACGAAACTACTCTTTCTCGAGACCGGGGAGAGAACAAAGGGTGCAGATATTTCTGGCACTTTCACAGTCGCTTTCACCCGTTTTTAATTTTCGATCAACCGTAGTGGAAACTGATTCACCGCCCGATTCAAATAAATATCGCGGAGCCAGATAAATGATCGAATTCGTTCGGAAATTATATATAAAAAAAAAAATCACTGGAAAAATAAATAAACTCGATCGAAAATTACCTGTTTTGAAGACGATTATGCGACACAGTACAGAAGCGAGAAACAACGGTATCATGTCATCCGAGAAGAACGATTGGAGAACAACTACGTAAAGAATCGGATTCGAACGAGACGCAAGAGTAAACTGACGCGAAATCGAGAGTTTCTTGCATCGTCTCGGATCGGCGATTTCGAAGGAATTTACTTTTACAAGATGGTTCTAGATCGTTAAACTTAACAAAAAAGAAAGGGAAAGTTGGGCGATAGTCAAGACGAAACAGACTCAGTTTTCTTTCGAGTTGTGAAAATATCTGGAATAGAAATATTCGCCGTTGGACAGAGTTTGATATACGCGCTATAACAATTACCGAGAAAATTGAAAGCAATAAATTGGGAGCTAATCGAATGCGCTTGATGGATCTGTTGCCGCTACGATTGGAAACGGTGTATCGGATAGAAATTGCACAATTTCCTCGTGGTAATTCCATTATCCTGCCGAGATTTTGAGCAGTTTAATCGATCGACTCGTAGAAATAGAGACCGCCGCCAAATCATCCGTGGATCATCCGTGCAAATTGCGCGCGGCGCGGAATTTTTCTTTCGAATATAGCCGTGATATTTCTTCGAACTCGACGAGACTCGATGTCGTCGAAACGACGTTTTTTTTTTCCCACTCGATGCCGGATGATCCTGCCCCGGTCGAGGATCGTCCGGTTGTTCCGCACGTACGTGTATCTGGGTCAGGGTGCTTTCCGGATATTAGGGGGATGATGCGCAAAATATCCCCTCCACGATGCAACATTGGTACAGCAACTTTTCACTGTGACGCCCCGTGTCGACCAAATCTCCAATCGAATTCTCTTAATTCTGATCTATACTCATCGCCCTTCGAGTCGATACTCCTCTCTTCCAACTTGTGTATCCTTACTTCTCGATTCTCCGTTCCGAAATTCTAATCGATGCGATGAATGATTATCGAGAATTGGATAATAATAATAATAATAATAACGACACATATAATGGAAAAATCTAGATTTTTAAGATGGAGTTTAATCATTTGGAACGTAAAAAAAAAAAAAAAAAAAAAAAAAAAAA